TAACATCTTCAGAAGTTTGGGGATGTTTGTTTGTTGTATTTGTGTGATTTTGTAAGTTCGACAACATGTGACGTGTGAGTAGTGTCACATGATTAGTGTGATTAGTATCATGTCATCATAATGCTATTAGTGTCATGTCAATGTAATGTGATTATTGGGTGTATTGGACAAACAATGATGAGTGTTACTTGTGAATTAAGTTGACGTAGTATCGTGATGAATACATAACAAAAATGTCTTATGAACCGTCTTGTCGTAAATGACATCCTCAACATTGACGATGTGTGTATGTTGTCGAATTATGCACTATGAGACTATATCATACATTTGGCATAATGTAAATGTTAGTTAATAGCACCAGTAGGTGTCTTGTTGGACACATAGAAAATGTCACATTTTAATGAAATGGCATTGTGACATTATCAGAGAGACGTAATCTGTCATTCATATAATGTTTTGAATTTCATAATTTTTTAAATGAATATAATGACTTTGGTTTGATATGTTATTTTCGATGTGTCGCTGATGCATAAGCAATGTATCATTTGTTATCGACCCCAATGGTTGCGTAAGTATTGTTTGATAGGTATGTTCCCAAGTGTGAAAATAGTACATTGGTCTGACATATTTATTGAAAAAATCCAAAATGTGACACCGAGTTGAACTCCACACCCCTACCCGACACATGGAGACAGTTTAGCTAATCGGACACCAGAATTTGAAAAATGAAAACCCATTGTTTTGGGGTAATGTGTTTTTCATGTGTTTTTAGAGTTGTAAAGAATGTAGCATTAGTTAACGGCACCATTGATCCTTTACATGTTTGATTGGTATATTCCAAAATGTGACAAAGATAAAAGCAAACTGAGATGTTGATGCAACACCCAAATGTGTGTAGTACCAGAACCCATGAAAAACTCCTTGTTCCCAAATTTTCTTCCACAACAGGAAACCCAAAATAAAATCAATGAGTAGACGTAAAAACACATGTAATACAATATATTAAATCCGTCTTACCAAAATGAATGGGATTAATTGAATCATAAAAAAATTTATAGCACTAAATGAATCACAATTCCTCCAAATGAGATTTACTAGTAAATTTTTCTTTTTTTTAAAAAAAAAATTTCATTGAATACAAAGAAATATAACAATTCAATACATTTTAATATTTTTTTGTATTCAATATTCTTATAAGGGTAAATTACAAATACACCCTTTGAGATTTACTTAAAATACGAATTGCCCCTTGTGGTTTGGAAAATTATAAATACCTCCTTGTCATAATTTTTTATTTAATAGAATTAATTGAAAAAGTGAAATTTTTAACTGTTCACTTATACAATAATAAAATTATCTGAATTATTAACTGAAATACAATTTTAACATTATTAAAAACTGTTAATTAACTTTATGATTTATTAATAAAAGGACCTATTTGTTATGAAATTATAAATCTTAAGGGGCATAATGTAATTTCTTGAACCATATGGAGTAATTTGTAATTTAAGTAAACTTCAAGGGGTGTGTTTGTAATTTACCCTTTTTATAAAGATTTTTGTAAAAGACTTGTTTGGAGTGTGTTATATAAGCACACTTTTTATCTTTTTTAGGTCATATCACCTCTCTATTTTTCTGCACATTTTTTTGTAATATAAGCATACTTTTTATCGTTTTATCTTTTTTGAGTCACATCATCTCTTTATTTTTTTGCACATCTTTTTCTAAAAAATCAAAAAATATACTTATTTAGATCATCTCTTAAAAAATAAAAAAAAAATTGATTTTTTTTTTAATTTTAAAAATCACTAAAAAAAAATGTTTGTAAGCCCAATGGTTAGAGTTCGGATCTTCGGCCGCATATTCCTGCGGCGCTCCCAGCAGCACTACAAAACGATGTCATTTTGTATATTTTTTAAAAAAAATTTTTTTTCTTCTTCCTTTGTTTGTTATTCAGCTTTCCCCTTTCCTTTTTTGAACCCTAGACACAGAGGATTTTAACATTATTAAAAACTGTTAATTAACTTTATGATTTATTAATAAAAGGACCTATTTGTTATGAAATTATAAATCTTAAGGGGCATAATGTAATTTCTTGAACCATATGGAGTAATTTGTAATTTAAGTAAACTTCAAGGGGTGTGTTTGTAATTTACCCTTTTTATAAAGATTTTTGTAAAAGACTTGTTTGGAGTGTGTTATATAAGCACACTTTTTATCTTTTTTAGGTCATATCACCTCTCTATTTTTCTGCACATTTTTTTGTAATATAAGCATACTTTTTATCGTTTTATCTTTTTTGAGTCACATCATCTCTTTATTTTTTTGCACATCTTTTTCTAAAAAATCAAAAAATATACTTATTTAGATCATCTCTTAAAAAATAAAAAAAAAATGATTTTTTTTTTTAATTTTAAAAATCACTAAAAAAAAATGTTTGTAAGCCCAATGGTTAGAGTTCGGATCTTCGGCCGCATATTCCTGCGACGCTCCCAGCAGCACTACAAAACGATGTCATTTTGTATATTTTTTAAAAAAAATTTTTTTTCTTCTTCCTTTGTTTGTTATTCAGCTTTCCCCTTTCCTTTTTTGAACCCTAGACACAGAGGTGACGATACAGGACGAAGGAGGAAAAGAGGCGACGATCTGGACGAGAGTTTGAGCCGACGAACGAAGAGGCGACGGAGGCGAGGCAAGGCAAGGCGACGGTGAGGCGATTGGAGCGGCGAGAGACGAACAGACAGAGTCGGTGAGAGACGAAGAGTGAACTCACGAGGTTCGTTTGTCTCCCATTCGATTTTTCCATTATTTTTTTTGTCTGATACTCTTTGTAATAGATTTTCCTTTCTTTTTTTTGCCCGTACTCTTTTTGGTTGATGAACATAGATTCTGACAATGGTTGATGAACATAAAAAAGTATTATTATTTTTTACATTTTTTCCATTCTTAAATATGTTCATCAACATAAATATGTTCAGAATCTTTAACATTGTCATTGAATCTTGAATTTGAGAATGATTTGTAGAACATATTTGATTCTGACAATGATCTTGAATTTGAATTTGAGAATGATCTTGAATTTTAAAAATGGAAAAAGTATGTTGATGAACATGTTTAAGAATGGAAAAAATATGTTCATCAACCATAGATTCTGACAATGTTAAAAATTCATTGGAAAGAAGTATTATTATTCTTCATTTTCAAATTGGGTTATCTGAATTTTGGATTTCAAATGAAGGGATTTGAAGTTAAAACTTTATAGAAAATGGTATGAGAGTTAGCTATTATTAGATGGAATCAGAAACTAATGAGGAAGACAATAATGCAGATTAAAAGAAAGTGATTTTATTATGATTTTTTTGTATTGTCTATCATAACCCATCATGGTAAATCTCTCAAATTTTATGTTGAAGTCTGTATCTAAACTATCATTTCTAAATTTGAGCTATTCTCATTGAACAATTAGTGCCCAAATTCTTGCATTTCAAATCCACAAAGCCAAATGCCACTCTATACTATAGCATCTGTGATTCTGGGGATTTTGTGAATTACCAATGTGTAATTATTCTTTGTTATATGCGAATGGACCAATGTGCCAAAAATGGGGTTAGTAGAATAGATAATCTTAATCACAACAAATTTCTTTCTATTGTGATGCTTATGAGCTTCAATGATTATTTTCCTTGAATTACATAAGGTTCTGGTGCTTCATTTGCTCGGGAGGGATCATCCTCTTTTGGGAACTATAGTTAATTCTCAAACGTTAATATAAAAAACCCACTTGAACTCTACCATCCATGTTTTATTTCCTTTTCTTTTCTTCTTCTTTATTTGTTTTTGGGAAAATCCATTTGGTAGTGATGGCTTATTAAAGTACAAAACTTGAATTATAAGGCACTGTGAATTTTACCCTAACCTACAAGGTTCCACTAATTTATGGTTAGATCTGTGTTGCATTTGAAATGTTTACTTGTCAATTTCAAATGCAACACAGTCAATTCATTGAGGAAATCCATTTAAGTGTGGTTAGATCTGTGTTGCATTTGAAATTGACTTTTGTGTTTACTTGTAATTAGGATTGACATGTCAACGAGTTCAAACAATGATGCTGGATTTTTTGAAAATAAAAGATGCAAATATGGGAAAAAAACAGGAGTGTACATATCAGAATCAGAGAAAAATCCAGGGAAGTTGTATTTCAAGTGTGCAAATAAGGCTTGTGACTACTTCGTGTGGGGAGTGACTCCTACTGGGAATGGATCAAATATCCAAAAGAGCGGGTATGATTATGATTTTGCGAGAAATAATGAAGTTGTGAATATCTTGGAACGACTTGAGGCAAACCAACGAGAACGACTTGAAGCTATCAACAATGAAGTTGTGAATATCTTGGAACGACTTGAGGCAAACCAACGAGAACGACTTGAAGCTATCAACAATGAAGTTGTGAATATCTTGGAACGACTTGAGGCAAACCAACGAGAACGACTTGAAGCTATCAACAATGAAGTTGTGAATATCTTGGAACGACTTGAGGCAAACCAACGAGAACGACTTGAAGCTATCAACAATGAAGTTGTGAATATCTTGGAACGACTTGAGTGTTGATTAATGATATTGAGTGTTATGTATATGATGTATGAAGATTGATGCTATGAAAAGAAAGTGAATATGATGTTATGTGAGTACAAGTGAATATGATGTTGCATGATGAATGATCAATCCTTTACACAGGGCACTGTACTGCAATTCTTCCATAGGTTTTAACATGTTAAATCATAAAAGAGACATCTCAAAGTAATCCTCAAAGAGGCATCTCAAAGCAAGCTTCCCAAATATTAAAAATAATGTGATCACTCCAACCATCCTGCATCACCTCACCATGAGTCAACAAAATCAACATCCTGTATGAACTCACCATGCCTATAAAATATTGACTAAAACAAATGTATTCTAGATGAAAATCATAAGAAATTTATATATGCATACACATAATTCCATGAAAAAGAACATTGTTCCCAAACATTAAAAATACATAAAAAAGATATGTTTCTTCAAAAATATCCAATTCCCACCAAACATTAAAAATACATAAAAAATATATATGTTTCTTCAAAAAAGATATGTTTCTAATTACAGGATTACAAACTCAACATCTCGAGGTTTTTTTGATTCAAGCTTCCTGGCACGAATTCTTGCATTTTCCTCCCACTTATTTTGACCCATTACCGATAGGTTTTGCTTCAAAATCTCAGTGTGAGGATCAATAACAATTTTCTGGAGGGCAACAGCATTCTCAAAACAGTACATGACAATCTCATCATCACTACTGCGACCAAAATACCCAATTATCTCCACCAATTTAAGGTGTTGATGGGGAGATTGGGCAGCCTTCCCCACTTTTCTTCTTCTCTTTGCAGGTGACTTCCATATTAACTGCGACAAGAGAAACAGAAGAGATCAACTGTTGCATTATTGCATGATATATTATATATAAATGCTAAGTCCAAAAAGTTCAATCAATGAAATTAAAGCACGTACCTCCAACACAAATCTGTCCAAGTAAGGACAGGCCTTTATCATCAAGGAAGTGAATTGAAGGAGACTATCATCAGCCCGTGCCCCAATTTTTAACACTAATTTCTTGAGATTTGAAAATTCAGGTAATGAAGGAAGCTTCATAGTTCTCTGGAAAAAATGAAAGTAAAAAGGAGTAACTTAAGGCATACCCTGACAAAACATTCAATATGAAGAATCAATTGAATTATATATGCAAACCTCGGGATGGAGCATGTCCAATGCAAGAAACTCTAGCTGAGAATGGCAACACAAAAGCTGGGAAAAGATATCATTCTTTAATCCAGAATCACCCTCGCCAATGTATAACATTTTAAGCATTGGAACGTTATTCAGGTATAAGCTTATCACCGGGCCCAAATAAGTGAATGAAACAAGGTTTGTGTCACAAATTTCAATTTTTTCTAAACCCAAACAGAAGACTAACTCTAAGGACTTCAATTTGAGGCTCAGGCCAGCAACTCTTACATTTACCAAATCTCCTGAACTATATATAGACAAATGGTCGAGGGCCGTGCAATTGGACAACAAATATTCAAAAACCTGTCCATTAATATTTACCCACTTCAAAGAAAGTGATTTAAGAGACTTAAACCCAAAATTGCAATGCTGCATACCCTCCACAAGTCTCAACGGAAAAGTATAGTTTTGAGAATGCTTGCGAGTAGATTCACCATTTTCTGACAAGTCCAGCACAAGCCATTGAACTTCCTTCCGCATTGCAAACTGAACCCATCCTTCAATATCGTCATTAGAAGTTTCATCCAAATCGAAACATATCCTGAATTCATCTATAGTCAAGCCTCTATGATGTTTCACCACATGATTCACAAAATTGATATACTTAGACCTTTCCACATCCCTTAACTCTGGGTTTGCTACTATTGTATCTAATGTTTCATTGGCATCAAAGTTGAGTGCACTGACAGAGGTCCACAGATATCTCCATTGCTTTGCAACAATACTAGTACGTAATGCCTCTTTTACTGTCAACCACGACAATATAGGAGCAATCAGATCATTAGGCAATTCAGTGATCTGGTTCTCTGAATTACAGGCTCCCTTAAATCAGTCAATGTCAAACAACAACAACAGCAAAAAATATTAGCATGATCAACTGTAAATCTTTTTTATACGAAATGGCTGAATCAATCAAATTGGGACAAGTTACAACGGCCCTGTTTGGTAGAGCTTATTTCCAATTTATTTCAGTTTTTAACTTAATTTAAACTATTTTGATGTGTTTGGTTCAGCTTAACAATACAACTTATAGCTTTTTGTAAGTCAAAAATCAACTTATTCTTTGAGTGAGGGAGGAGAAGCTTAATTTATAAGTAAAAAATCAACTTATGTTCACAGTTATAAGCTATAAGCTGTTAAAGTATAAGCTATTATCATTTTCCCACCTCTACCAAACGGGGCCAACATGAACATCATAATTTTCTGTTGCATCAAAGTCTTCCAATCTTCAAGAGTAAGATGTAATGATCATGATAATCAGAGCGACATTTATTACATTGAAAATTAAAAATTAAAAAAAAATGAAATCAACATTTATAAAAAAAGTACTTGGAAAATCAGGAACTAATCGATTTTATACAAAATGGCCTAATGAATCGAAGAAAAATCCAAGTAAGCGACATTGATTATCTTGAAAATTAAAAACAGCATAAACATGGCTGAATGAATAAAAATCCAAGTAAGCGACATTGATTATCTTGAAAATTAAAAACAGAACTATTATTAGATAATCAAGAAATCAAGAACTAATCTTTTCTGAATGAATCAAATTGGGATCAGAACAGCATAAACATCATCATTTTATGTTACATAACCTTCCAATCTTCAACACACACACACACACACACATATACATAGAGAGACAGAGAGAGAATAGAAATAGGGTTTACCTTTTGTCGGGTACCTCGCATTCGTTTTCCCATTTGATAGTATGTCAATCAACAGAGAACGTGTATTCAACAATGCTCAGAAAAAGAATCGAGTGTTCATATTTCAGAAGTTTTTCGTTCTTCTGCAATCACAGGGTTTTGGATTGGAGAGAGAGAGAGAGAGAGAGAGTGTGGGATTTCAGTGATGGAGATGGGCGGCGCTGTATATCGCAATGGTTAGGGTTAAACACAGATGAAATAAACGAGCGGGAAATTCAATTTTTTTGGGAGGGAAAAAAAAAAACCAACTAAACAAAAACGACGTCGTTTTTTACAAAAACGACGTTGTTTTGGAGAGTGCGGCAGAGAGGGCCGCTGGCTTGTGCGGCCGATGATCCTTATTCCAATGGATAACCATAGAATGGATCCATACATATTCTGGGCCAGGAAGAACCTATCTCGACGCCGGTACAACATAACCCCGAAGCCAAACAGTGCCCAAACCCTAAACCCCAACAGAGAAACTCAAAAGATCAAACTGAGGAGGAGGAGGTTAGCTTAGCGTAGTAGTAGTTATACGTGGCGGGAAAACTCATCGAATCGAATCCAATGACAGACGAGAAATCAACGCCGTTGGTCTCGGAAAGCCCCAAGCACTCGTTCGATCAACGGCCTGAATCTCCCCAGCGTCCTTGGAAGCTCCCGAGAATCGCCGGCGAAGAAATCATCAACGACGACGAAGACGGAAGCCCTGGTGACGAAACGATGAGTCAAAACCCTAGAATGCAAAGGTACTTGGTGGCGATCGAGTACATTGGGACTCGATTCGCAGGGGCACAGAAACAGCCCAATTTCAGAACCGTCGTGGGTGTACTTGAGGTAATCTTGTCGTTACTTGTTTGGTTTCTAAGAAAATGTGAGAAAGTAATACGGAAGGTTGATTTAAAATTTTGTCACGAAAATCTCGATTATATGTGTTCTTTGTTTTGTTTTGTTTTGTTTCGTTTTCTTTTATTGTTAGGTTTTCTATTGCAACCTAACAGAGGGTCGAGTGTTATTTTGATCAACAATGATGCATCCCCAATTTTGGAGTCTAATTGAGCTCTAATGACAATAAATAAATAAACATCACGTCACAGTGAGGGCCAATCCATTAGAGCTCATTAGAACTCCTTCATTAAAGCTCCCAAACATTTTTGTATTTTGATTTTCTTTTTTTTCTTCTCTTATTAGTGGTTTACATTTTTGTATTTTAATTTCCTTTTTTTTTTTTTAGTGGTTAACTTAGTCTCAACTGTGACTTTCTGTTTGGTTGCTTAATAGATATTTTTTTTTGTCTTTGTTTTTAGGGGTGAGCATAGTCCAGATCGGACCGGTTTAGAATGAAACCAGAATCAATCCGTCAACTATGGTTCTATTAAAATTAGAACTAATCCAAACCATTTAAACCATGGAACCAATATGAACCAAACTATTTAAACACAAATCGGTTCGGTTTGGAATCACGATTTCACACAATAAAAATCATATAACATTGTTCTAAAAACATTCAACATGTAGCAAATAAATATAAGTCCATCATCTAACAAATAAATATAAGTTCAACATATAACAAATAAAATTCTCATTTAACAAACATTTTATTATGAAAATAACATTTACAAAACTAAACTTATCCTAAATAATTTATATATAAAAAAAATCAACAAAAACAGCAGTAAAACACAGCACCAACAGCAACCCAAATCAACTTGTAATATTAATAAATTGATTATTGATAGTTAGTGGTTGTTCCATTGAGAGCAGCGCCTCTTTCTTTCTTTCTTTGGATGAAAGGTTGGAATTGTATGCAAGAGGGTGTATGGCATAATGGTAGGGTGGGATAGTAAACGGTCCAGATCGGATTCAATCCAGAACCGTGTATCATAATTCGGAACTGATCCGTAAACAACAAATTGCGAATTTTTCCTATGAAGCATGATTACTTTGATAAATATACCGTACCTGTACTGGGTACTTATCGGTGTATAGTACTTCGTATTTTGCATACGTATCGGATACAAGAAACACATACCTTTTTTTTTTTCTCTTAATTTTTAACGTATTGTACCTAGTATGCACTCAAGCCGTACCGTATCTTAGTCAAAACAATATTTTCTTCTACTACAAAGATAAACTTCCTTTCACTAGACTTTTTTTTTTTAATTTTTTTTTTAGTTTTATACTTGCATGATTTTAAAATTAAGCAATGGTTTATAAGTTATTTAATATAATGACATTTAATTTTGGTTTATACCTATGTTACCTGAAATGTGGATTGTTCTGGTACGTGGAACGGGAACGGGAACGAGATACGCCAGATGCTCTAAAATGTGGTACGATAAGGGTAGGTAGACTTGTATATATTACACTTAATAATTTGAGATATTTTTAGAGTAATTTTCTTCTAACTATTACGCATTTAATAAAATGTATTGTTACTTTCTTTTTTTTTCATTTTTGATGCTTTTGTCTTGTCAAAACATAACTCACATTAGATTTTAATTTATTATATTTGATTTTTTTTCTCCTAAGGTAACATTTAAGGAAATATATTGAAAAAACTTTTGGGATCGCTTCAGATTACTAAATTTATTGTTTTGGAATGGAAGTATATCATGTTTCAGAACGTGCGTACCAATACGTAATTTGCTAGGGGATTAGTGTTTTCTGGTAACACGAGTTTATACCGTTACTTTTGCCATTAAATATTGATTGTAGGTTAGATCTTAACAAATTAAATCACTTAATCAATTTTTGTATTATTCCAAATTAAAAATAAATAATTTTTTACTAACGTACTAAGCCGTGATCGCACCTTATTTTTTTAAATTTTACCGTATCAACGTACCTATATCGTACTAGTACCAGTACTCGTACCTATACCCATGCTTTATAGTTTTTCAAACCAATCCAAAACCACGGATTAGAAAAATCAAATAAAAAATACCGGTTAGACTTGACCGATTTTGGTTGCAGATTTTTCGATTCACCTGCTCACCCCTATTTGTTTTCTTTGCTTCCCAAAAAATAAAAATCTTGCAAGAAGGAATCAACAAAATAGATCATATAGAAGACTCTATGTTGCGTTGAGTTCATGCCGAATCAAATGGTGCCTCTATACATGGTTCTTGAATGCTAAATCAACCGCCTTATTTATGATTGATTTAGCCTAACATACGTTGGTGGTCAAGGCGTGGGCCTGGTGGTGTGCTCCCTCCATAGTCTCATGTTCGAAAGTCCATACAGGGCTTTGTCCTAGCTTTGATTGGGACCCCCGTTAGTGGATGGTGGGATTGGTCGTGTTAGTCGGTTCAGTGAGCCGGATACTGAGTTATAATCCAATTATAGTTGCCTTCTGGGCTAATAAAGCCAAAATATCAGTTGTTCCATAAATCAATTGGCATAAATAGGGTTGAGATTTGAGGTCAAATCATGTTTAGTTCATTACACTTACAAAAGATTAGCTCTAAAGAGTAGGTAGGTGGCGATGTCGTTACTAAATTTTAAAGCATCTTACCGTCAAGTGACGAAGCATACACCCACTAATAAAGCTAGATGTTTGATTATCCTTATTCTATGTGTTCCACTTCCACACGGAACCAATATGAACCAAACTATTTAAACACAAATCGGTTCGGTTTGGAATCACGATTTCACACAATAAAAATCATATAACATTGTTCTAGGAAACATTCAAGATGTAGCAAATAAATATAAGTCCATCATCTAACAAATAAATATAAGTTCAACATATAGCAAATAAAATTCTCATTTAACAAGCATTTTATTATGAAAATAACATTTACAAAACTAAACTTATCCTAAATAATTTATATATAAAAAAAATCAACAAAAACAGCAGGAAAACACAGCACCAACAACAACCCAAATCAACTTTTAATATTAATAAGGCCTAGTTTGGGAAGACTAAATAAGTGTACTTTTTGACTTTTTATGAAATATGAGTTGGGTTTGGGTTGGGTTTGAAGTGATGTGTTAGAGAGGTGATGTGACTTAAATAAGATGATGTGACTTAAATAGGATAGTGACTTTTTGACTTTTGTATTATTTCAATCATGCCAAACTTGGCCTAAATTGATTATTGATAGTTAGTGGTTGTTCCATTGAGAGCAGCGCCTCTTTCTTTCTTTCTTTGGAGGGTTCCTTATTTTGATTTTATATATAAAGGGTTAGAATTGTATGCAAGAGGGTGTATGGCATAATGGTAGGGTGGGATAGTAAACGGTCCAGATCGGATTCAATCCGGAACCGTGTATCATAATTCGGAATTGATCCGTAAACAACAGATTGCGAATTTTTCCTATGAAGCATGATTACTTCGACAAATATACCGTACCCGTACTGGGTACTTATCGGTGTATAGTACTTCGTATTTTGCATACGTATCGGATACAAGAAACACATACCTTTTTTTTTCTCTTAATTTTTAACGTATTGTACCTAGTATATACTCAAGCCGTACCGTATCTTAGTCAAAACAATATTTTCTTCTACTACAAAGATAAACTTCCTTTCACTAGACTTTTTTTTTATTTTTTTTTTAGTTTTATACTTGGCATGATTTTAAAATTAAGTAATGGTTTATAAGTTATTTAATATAATAACATTTAATTTTAGTTTATACCTATGTTACCTGAAATGTGGATTGTTCTGGTACATGGAACGGGAACGGGATACGCCAGATGCTCTAAAATGTGATACGATAAGGGTAGGTAAACTTGTATATATTACACTTAATAATTTGAGGTATTTTTAGAGTAATTTTCTTCTAACTATTACGCATTTAATAAAATGTATTGTTACTTCTTCTTTTTTTCATTTTTGATGTTTTTGTCTTGTCAAAACATAACTCACATTAGATTTTAATTTATTATATTTGATTTTTTTTCCTCCTAAGGTGACATTTAAGGAAATATATTGAAAAAACTTTTGGGATCGCTTCAGATTACTAAATTTACTGTTTTGGAACGGAAGTGTATCATGTTTCAGAACGTGCGTACCAATACGTAATTTGCTAAGGGATTAGTGTTTTCTGGTAACACGAGTTTATACCGTTACTTTTGCCATTAAATATTGATTGTAGGTTGGATCTTAACAAATTAAACCACTTAATCAATTTTTGTATTATTCCAAATTAAAAATAAATAATTTTTTACTAACGTACTAAGCCGTGATCGCACCTTATTTTTTAAAATTTTACCGTATCAACGTACCTATATCGTACTAGTACCAGTACTCGTACCTGTACCCGTGCTTTATAGTTTTTCAAACCAATCCAGAACCACGGATTAGAAAAATCAAATAAAAAATACCGGTTAGACTTGACCGATTTTGGTTGCAGATTTTTCGACTCACCTGCTCACCCCTATTTGTTTTCTTTGCTTCCCAAAAAATAAAAATCTTGCAAGAAGGAATCAACAAAATGGATCATATAGAAGACTCTATGTTGCGTTGAGTTCATGCCGAATCAAATGGTGCCTCTATACATGGTTCTTGAATGCTAAATCAACCACCTTATTTATGATTGATTTAGCCTAACATACGTTGGTGGTCAAGGCGTGGGCCTGGTGGTGTGCTCCCTCCATAGTCTCATGTTCGAAAGTCCATACAGGGCTTTGTCCTAGCTTTGATTGGGACCCCGTTAGTGGATGGTGGGATTGGTCGTGTTAGTCGGTTCAGTGAGCCGGATACTGAGTTATAATCCAATTATAGTTGCCTTCTGGGCTAATAAAGCCAAAATATCAGTTGTTCCATAAATCAATTGGCATAAATAGGGTTGAGATTTGAGGTCAAATCATGTTTAGTTCATTACACTTACAAAAGATTAGCTCTAAAGAGTAGGTAGGTGGCGATGTCGTTACTAAATTTTAAAGCATCTTACCGTCAAGTGACGAAGCATACACCCACTAATAAAGCTAGATGTTTGATTATCCTTATTCTATGTGTTCCACTTCCACACTTGCTTCCCTGTACATCTTTCAATATGTCTTAATATTTAGCATGTTTGATATACTTTTTATTCCCTTATTCACATTGTGTGTGTGTGTTTTTCTTCTTTTTTTTAATACATAAACAAATTGTTTGGTAAAATTTGGGTTTTTTCATGGTTCATGCAGGAAGCTTTCCATAAATTTATTGGACAGCCAGTTTCAGTCTTTTGCTCAAGTCGAACTGTAAGATAATATTTTGCTCGTCTTTATGACTACTAAATAATGATTGTTTGTATATATGTATCACTAAGTATATAATTTGATATGATTGATTGTTCTAAGAGAGGTAAAACATGAGAGTATTATCTTGTGGGATATCTTCTCCATCAATCCCGAGATGGACCAGAAGATATCCCTCCTATAAGTATAATCTTGTTTGTCTTTAGTCAAGCCAGTGAGGCTGCAGTGGTAATTTTACTATGTTTTGAGGGCCTAGTTGGATTTAGCTACATTTGAGATGAGATGTAAATCTGGAACGTGTACTTGTCTCCAGATTTCTAGGACCAATTGTTATTGTTCTTTTGTGGCATTTTTGGCTACTTTACTTTTTAAGCAACTCTAGAAAGGATATTCTATATTTTATTTTACAGGTATCTATTTAGCGAAGCAATATTTATTTATTTTTTATTAAATAGCGATTGGGTGAATACATCTTGCTGTGACAATCTGAAGCTTTCCAAGCCTAATGTGCTTGTGGCCCTTGATTTGTCCATCGACTAATATACCTTCCCAAGAATTGGGGGACGTGTGCTTTAGCTTTCATTTATGTTACAGGAGCTAAATGATTGCTTGCAACATGAGTATGCTTTTGATCATTGCACTGGATATGCTGATAATTTGTGTTATGTTATTTTATTTAAGATGAAGTGGTCATTCAGTTTTACTACTGTAGGATGCAGGAGTACATGCCTTATCGAATGTTTGCCATGTAGATGTGGAACGCATAAGCAAAAGGAGACCTGGTGAAGTGGTACTTACGTACAAAAATTCGAATCTTTTCTCTTTTGGTTGCATGTATGATTTGCATATGTTGCTGATTTGGATTTAGCTCATAAGGAAGAACAATTGCTTCTATGGTTTCACTGTGCAATTAACTGTAATTTTCCACTTTAACATTGGAAATCCATCCAATGAAAGAAGCATATCAATAGGTAATTTCATGCACAATCACAAATTTACAATGCTTATCTCAAAAAATTAAGATATCTTCTGATAATTAAGATGAGTTTGGAACATAATCCTTTGGTCGTTATGTACTGGACTGCTGAATCAAGATATTGCCCTATTGATACAAGTATGTTTAGGCCGATATGTATCTTAGTTTCAGTTGATATTGACTTACAGTCTGATACACATGTTAACAATGAAAGGTTAAGCTTCTGAAGTTGATCTGTATCATGTTGGCCTGTCTCAGGCAAGGTGTCCTGTTATATCCAGTACTTCCAACTTATGCGCAGGATTTAGTTGGAATTTAGAATTCGATATACATAGCTTAGCATTTATACAAATTGTTCTGTTTAATTAGAAAAGAAATTAAGTATAATGCCTTGTCCTTCTTTCAGCCTTCAACACTAACAATTATTATAGAATTCCAATTTCTTTGAGTTGTATTTTTGCCATTTGAGAGGCCAGGAGAGCATGTGTTTTCTTTTGGAGTGGTTTTGTCCATAGGGAACCAAATGGTATTCTTAGATCATTGTTCTGCTATTAGAGCAAGCAACTGCTTGGTTTGGCTGAACGCTGCTTGCAACATGCCATTGAAGCTTAACACAAGTCATTCCACTTTTGATTTATTCCCCTTCAACCAATCTTCTCCCTTTTTGATGGGAGTTTTGGATGTATTGGTGTTAAACATCTAGAGATGTATGTTCGTGTATCTTTCTTTGGATAGTTGTTTACACGTAGTTGTTCAAAGTCACTATCAAATACTGCAATTGGCATGGTTTCTGGTAATTTTGATATGCACAAATCAATTTGCCTTCTATAGACAATAATGTTTCATTTTAAATTATGTGTCACTGTAATACCCTCACCCAATTCTCGTGAATTAATTGAAAAAGCAATCAAGAGAAACATGAAGTTACCTATTTTATGATGTGAATGCTCTGCCACTCACTTTCAATCTTGTTAAAATGCAGTTACCACCTCATGAACCTACAGTGGTTAGAAGAGCTGTCAATCATTTCTTACAGGTTTGGAATCCATTGACTTGATAGGTCTCAAATTTAGAATTATGGCTGCACACTAATCCTCTGACCATTGACCCTGTATTTATTTATTTTAATTCAAAGCCCCCCCAAAAGATGCAAAGATCGTGCATTCATCATCTTTCTTTTCAGCCTTGTTTTTATGGATTTTCTTGGGTAATTTTTCTTAATTTGAATGCTCTTGAAACAGAATGACGACATCAAGTGTTTCTCAAGTTTGTGTATTTCTATAGTTGCTCTTTTCTGTGATAAAACTATTGTATTATATTTTGGAGTACCATATTTGAAGGATTTATATTTCTTTATGTGTGTGTCTTCTAGTATATTTCCCATAGCTGGTCTCTACATCCACATGTGAGATGATTTTATTTGATGCAGCTGTGGATGGACATGTTGTACTTATTTATATGATCTTTTAAATGATTTACATCATGCCATATTTAGCTGAGAATCATGTCCTCGGTGACAACCATGTTAAACAAGGCTATCCTCTTAAATTGTTGTCCTTACATGATTTTTGATTAGTAATTAATAAAATAACTTTTAACACCTTAATTTTCTTGTCTTTTACAAAAACTCATTGTATCCTTGTGTTGATGTACTTAAATATGATTCAAGTCTGTTAAGACCACCTTGTCATGTTTCCATATGTAAATACACAGACATTCCCACATATTTGTATGTAGTTGTTCTTTTGCACTTAAATATGATTCAAGTTGTTCATTGGATCTGAGGGAGACTGGCGTGAGCCAAATCCATTTTGCAGGCTTGGCCAATTTTATTCAAATAGATCAGGCATTGACAAAAGGTTGGCTGGTTGAATGCCTACATTGTAACGCAAGCTATCAGACAAATAACTGAATGTATTCTGATTTCTAGTATGACAATGCTTTGCGTTGAAACTACTATTTGGAATTCAGCTTCAAACTCAAATTTGATTCATGGACCTGAAATGCTGACTAACTTGCATACCGAAGTTCTAAATATAAATTTGGTTCACCTCTGCCCTAATCATTCAATAATTTCATTTTGAGGAGATACTGACTCTAATCTGTTCTGATTTTGCAGCAGAAAGAGGGTGATATAATGGTGATAGATGTTCGAAGTGTTCCACATAATTTTCATGCTAGATATAAAGCTCAAGAACGCACGTAAGTATCAAAAAAATTTGAAATTGTGTTAATAGAAATTACTACCATATAGAGATAGTATGCATGCTTCTCTAGATGAGTCTCCATGAATATGCATGCTGTCTGTATATAATTATGTTCTAACATCAGACATGGATACTTTTCATGGACTGTCAAAGGTAAGACTATAGTGCATCTTGCTACCATTCTGCTTTGAATGCTGGTATCTGCAAGAGAAGTACTGTTATGCTGCAGCCAAATTTTTACTTTATAACCTTCTAAGATTTAGTTCATTGATCTAAGAGCAATTGATCTTTTGAACTTACAATTAAATACTAGAAGCATTGGCTGGTTGGACCTATTATGCCTGTTACCTCTAACCTTTTGTCATTTCCACTCTGATAAGTTAATAGTACGTTTGCTTCTAGTTTTAGGTGCTTCCTGACAGATGTGCTTATTATTTACTCTAGTGAACATACTCTTGAACAATTTGAATAATTTTACTTTAGGTACTTCTATCGCTTGCTGTCTGGACCAGAGCCTTTGTCAACCTTTGAGAAAGATCGTGCTTGGCATGTTCCTGAGGAGCTAGATATTCTAGCTATGCAGGTTAGATAATAGATTCAACAATTTGCCTTTTTTCAACTTGCGTTTTATGCTTTATTTGATCTTATCAAATATAAAAACCATCATTTACTTGAATGTTGGCCAGAGAGCATGCAGAGTTCTTGTTGGACATCATGATTTCAGTTCCTTCAGGGCAGCTTCCTGTCAGGTCATTAGTAATTTCCCTGATAGTTATTGTGGTGCTTCTGAATGCATGTGATACTATGCTTTATTAAACCTTTTCCTATTTGTTTGGGTTGTATAATTGACTTTACAGAACATGTGCATGGCGTTGTTTATTTGTTTTTTTGAAGTACCTGCTTCCCTTATCTATGATGCTATACCCATGCTTTCATGTCTTTAGATGCTTATCAAGGTTCTTTACCCATCATCAAGCTCACGAACTTAAATGTTAGAAGTTTTTATTTTTCCACTTTTTTGATAGAGTTAAACAACAGAACAAGAATCATGCACTTGACCTAGATAGTGTGGGAACCTTTGTCCGGATTATTGGCATTACCATCAGAATTCCACCATCTATGTGGAAACTTGTTTTAGGATAATGAACAATTACTAGGATTGTGCCTGTTCATGTGGGATCAGATTGATGTATAGATGCCAACTTTGAGCAGATCTGAGATTCCACGAGGTATCTATTAAGCCAAAGTATCTTTCTCTGTCTGGTAAGTTATTAGCTTGAGTCACCTGGGCCTTAAATACAAGGCTCATGACTATATTCTGGGTCTGAAAGGCAAGTTGTCTAGCTTTATGAGGCTGAGCTCACTAGATTATATGTGACTTGGTTGTCTACCAGTACCAGATAAAATTCCTTGAATTCTATGAAAATTTACATTTGAGACCCACAACATTCTACATGTGAGGAAAAATCTACCTCTATCCAAAGTTGTCATGGTTGTGTTATATGATCAACACATCTCAAGTCACCACAACAAATTTCCATATTTTTTTCTAGTCCAAATTAATAGATTACATTGTAGTGTGAGTTATTTTTAAGTAGAGCAAAGCACCAAAGGTCAGGATAAATCTAGGAAGAAAAACCCTAAGATACTTACTTTTGTCAAGGGTAGGTTTGTCATTGAATATGAGCAGTCTTTTGATTTGCGATTTCTGTTTGAGCACAAGTACATATAAAAAATTGTTGTCAGATGCTGAAATTTCAGCTGCTTCTGAACTATGTTTCTCTCTCTCTCTCTCTCTCTCCAAGAAATTAACGTCTATCGGAACAAGTAGTTCCCCTCATTCTTTATCCTTTCATGCTTTCTAAGGATTATTAAAGCAATATATGTCCTGGATGTGTTCAATACTGTATTGGGTATTGTATAAAATTTGATGAATGCCATCTGACTTGCAAAACTATGCAATTGTCTCCTTGCTTTACTAGGGGATGTTGTACTGGTAATTTTTTATTGGATCTTTTAGACATTTTGACATTGTAAAATGTATGAATGTTTTAATAGGCAAAGTCACCTATCAGAACTTTAGATGAATTTGGTGTGATGGAGGTAGTGTCTACTCCATATTTTCCTTCAATCGTTGAGAGGGAACAAAGCAGTTTTATTGGGGAAGATCCCTTTGCATGCAGCAGTGAGTCAAAGACTGATCTGCCTCATGGTTCTTTGATATCCACTGAAGATAAAGTAAAAACTTCAAATGGTGAATCCAATGATGGATTTGCCGTAAGGAGAAGACATCGTTGCTTTGTGGTCACTGCAAGGGCACGCTCCTTTCTATACCACCAGGTTGGAATTATGCTTCTTCCTTTTCTATTAATAATAGTATAGTTGTTAAAGTCTCAAGGCAGGCGCTCTAAGGTGCTATCCTACAACCTAAGCTCAAGGCACAACATAAAACGAGCCTTGAGTGTAGTTGCATGTGTGATAGGCATGCATATTAAATATAATTAGTACTTCAAGCAATTTGACATATGTAAGACAAATAAAGATGGTGAATTTCTTAATGTATACACTATGAGAGTTAAATAAATTGGCTTTCATCTAAATCTTTTCATTTGGTAAAGGCATCAACCCTTTGCAAATTTACAATAATAAAAACCTATTTGGAACTTTTTATGCGTGTAGTATAATTTTGAACACTATGATTTAAGCACTGGATATATCTGTTTTCAACTAATCAACCATAAGCATCTAAATCTAGAATACAAAATACTAAAAATGATTAAACAATGTTATCTATCTAGAAGATCGTGAATAGGCAATCAATTAGTGACCATTGACAAATAAAAGGATAAAGATTGGTTCATTAAAACAAATGGTGTGCCTTTCTAGTAGGCTTGAAAGAGCCTACTAGAAGGCACAAGCCTAAGGATTCTATGTCGGCTTGACTGAAAGAGTCTGGTCTGTAATGTAGCAAGGCACTTTCAAGCCTGGATGAGACTAGGGCCTTTTTGGGGACCTAGATGTGTCTTTAACAACTGTGTGGTGGTATGTTATGTTCTTCAAGTTTCCTTTTGCTTGATTTATTCCTAATTGACGTGCTCTGAGCATTGATCTAATGGACCACGGGGCAGCAAAAATTTGTCTTTGGGTGAACTGAAGACGTTTGCAAACAATGTTTATGTCCACACAATTACAGACTTATCTAGAGTAATGTTTATGTCCACTATTACAGATGTATCAATGCAAGAAATTTTTTTCCCACCCGTAATTTAACAAACTAGACAATAGTATAATACAATAACATGGGAGCATTAAGGATCACTCGCCGAGTTGCCACTTCAAGACTTCTCTCCTCCATCGCATCATGAAATTCATTGTAACATATTCAGCTTCCACTTTAAGTAATCCACTTGAGCTTTCAATACTGAGAGTTTCATGTTCTGAATATTTATGCACTGGGTACCATCTTGGCTTTATTTTTGAACTTATCGGCATGTAGCATATAAAAGCTGGAATTGTTGCACATGTTCTTGCATATTTTAGGTTGAATTCTTTTTTCTTGTAAACTCCGCAGTCCGCAGTTGCCTTTCTTTTATCTACAATTGCCCTTGCATTTCCATACAATTGCTTGTGTCTCTATTCATCATTATCGATTATGTCATGCATTGACAAATGAGTAAATGAACTAAATAAAAAAACTTAAATTTTAGGTAAGTTGACTAACCAGTTTAGAGATGCTTCAAGTTATTATATATAACGATGGCATTATCATTATCATTTTCTTCGGTGTGGCAATAAATAAGTGATTAGAAGTAAATTTAGCTGTTTGTTTGGATCTTTCAACATGGGATTTGGGTTCCTAGGAGCTTTATCTAAAGATCCCTGCTAACTTTTGCCCAGGTTAGATTGCTAGTTGGGGTTCTCAAAGCTGTTGGCACTGGAGAATTAACAATTTCTGATGGTATGCACCATGGCATCTATTGCCTTTAATCCTGATACTCAAAACTAGTTTGATTTCAGTATTGTCTCAGACTAACTCCGTGTTTTAAAATTGAAATTATTGCAGTTGAGCGCATTCTGAATGCAAAGAATGTGACTGCTGCAAGTCCCATGGCCCCGGCTTGTGGTCTCTACCTGGGAAATGTGAAATACGATTTGCCTTGTGATGTGCCAAAATAGCTAGTGGATTTATTAGATTATGGACTTGTTGGGCTATTGGACTATTGATCAGCATTTGTTTTTAATCACTCCGAATATGGCAAATAATTATAGTTTTTCATTTAATTTTTAATTTTTTTTTTGTCTTTGTATTTATTGTTATGTAGACATTTTGTAAAGCTTATGATTAGGCTTGACTAGGTATTTGGAATTTTGTCAACTTTGTCCGTAAGTGTAATGTAAGTCTAACGAAGTTAGGCATGCATTAAGTCTTTGGTTTTTGTTTGTATCCATCTATTACATTCTATAAATTGGTATTCAAGCCAACAAATAAAACAATGTAAACTCTTTCCATCCTTTTGTGGCCAACTTCGTCTCTAACTTCTCTTAACTCCATAACTCTATCATAATTTTATAATAAAAATAAAAAGCTCCTTTCCTTTGGTTAGTTTGTAATTGGTATTAGAACTTAGTGAAGAGCTTTTGAAAGTAAGATCAAGCCATGTAAGTATTTCTTTCTGTGTATAAATTTTGACATATATATATATATATATGTGTGTGTGTGTGTGTGTGTGTGTGTGTGTGTGTGTGTGTGTGTGTGTGGTGTTCTTAATGATAAAATAAAATAAAATAAAAACTTTCAAAAAAAATTTCGTCAAGTTTAGTCTTTAATTGTGTATCACTTGTATTTTATATCTTCATAATTATTTGTTTCATTTATAATTGCTGTAACACTTATATGCTTAATGTATGTCAAAATTCATATACTCATTAAGATCTTTTGATTAGTAGTCATAATTAGGCATTTTTAAGTCTTTAATATCATAAAGAGAAGTTTTAGGTACCAGATAATATACTAGAAGAGTCTTAGGTACCAACGACAATGTATAATGGCAATTAGTCTATAGAATCTAAAATAGACAATTTAGATTTTATAATAAATATTGACTTAAACAAAGAAGCAAAAAGCTAAATAAACAATTTGGTGACAAAATTAGAAACTATATCCTTCATAAATAATGATGGAATGAATAGTCCAGGAGATAACTTCATTCTTAGGCTATTTTATAAAACATAAGATATTATGGTACTTTAAATCAATACTTATAATAGAACTAAATATGAAAATATTGTTGAAATATTGGATTATTAGAGAAAATTATATAAAGATTCAGATTTAGGTATTGATGAAAGAAATAAAATACTAGAACAGATAAGAGAAACTTATTTAGAACATGAAGTCATTTTATAGCACTTTAATTATGATATTAATATGTCAACTAATGATGATGATAGTCAATTATCCTTATCTGAAGAAACAATAGATCAAGATATTTCACCAGAAATAAATAAGGGAAAAAGAAAGGCAAAAGAGCCAATTGATCTCGAATTATTTGGCACATAGGGAGTTGGAGAAAATTTTGACTTTATTCAATCAAATGAAATTAAAAATGATACTAGCACTAGAAGTACCTCCAATCTTACACCTGAGCTAATAATATCTAGAAAAGACAATAATCATAAGTATCCAATAGCTCAAAATTGTACTTATCTAGACTTGTCTTATGTTCCATTTAAAGATCAGCCACAAGCAATTGATGATTGGATACAATCATTGTCCTTCATTATTACCAATTATAAAAATAGTTGGTCAAAGAAAAAATTCCTTAATTATATTGCAGCAACTCTCCAGGGAGATGTGTTGCAATGGTTAAGATAGTGGGAAAATTTTGAAATTGGAAAAAGTCAAAAAACAACTTTGCTAGGCAAATTTTCTCACACTTGATACAATATTAGTTTGCAAAAATCATAAAAGAAAATTTATATGGTTTTGCAGGAGATACTAATTTGCAAGCAGTATATTTTGACTAAATTAAAATTATGTAATATTTGTCTTTTTGAAGACTATGTTCAATCTTATAAAAAATATTATTATCTTATTGATCCACCAGAAAATCAATCTTGGTTAGATCAATTTTTTCATAAACTCCCTAATCCATGAGATGAATAATGTATTAAAACATATCTTGACTTTCTCAAAAGAATGGGGAAAGAAGAATATGATTATCTTGGTTTTCGCATTAATTATGTTCTAAGACGAATAACAGATCGGTGTCTAGAAGCAAAGGCGAAAAAACAAATAAAAAATCAAATTTCCAACTCACAATATAGTAAAAAATGTTGTGATAAAATTTTGAAAAAAAAATTGAAAAATTGGTTGTAATACATTTCTCAAGAGAAAGGGATTTCCAAAAAATACAGAAAATATAAATGGAAACCTTGAAAAAAGAACAAAACTTTTTCAAAAAAGAAAAAGTATATTCGAAAAAGAAACCAACACATGTTTCAAAAAAGAAAACAACGAAGAGGGTTATTATGCACCTGAATGCCTAAAAAGAGGAAAAAGTGCAAACAAAATAATCAAAGTTCTGGAAGAATAAGATTTTGAAATAATATATGGTGAAAAAACTTCTGATAAAGAAGAAATCTTGTACGAAATTTCTAGTGATGAAGAAAGTTCAGATGAAGAACTAGTCTTCATGATCACTAATATTGATAGTCAAGAAATATCTCAAGAAGTAGATAATATATCTCCAAAATAATTACAAGCCATTTGACTTGGAGATGTAATTGGAGAAGAAAAAACTTTTACCGAAGAAGAATTAACAAAATTCACAAAAATGTAAGAAGTTGTTGTGCCAAAAATTTACAAACTTTCAAAATTCAACTTCTTTTTAGCAAGAGTGTTTGAACAATACAGTGGCAACACTAAAGCAAAATAGTCAAAAGAAGGAAATATTGATATTCCTTTTTTTTATAAGTAAAAAAGTTGCAAGATGGAAAAAGAAATATCTTGAAATTTAATATATTCATATTGGATTAATACAGGTAACCATAACAGCCTTATTCCTTCAAGGGATAGATACTCCTATTTTGGCAGTAATTTTTTATAAAAGATTTTCCGACCCAATGAATTCAATCTAATTTAGCTAATGGAGTAGTTTGGTTTAATGTTAAACCAAATTTCTTTATTTCCATAAATGATCCTAATCTTGAAGATATAGTCAGAATAAGAATTAAGAAAAATGTTTGAGGGCCACAAAATCAGTGGCTCAAATGACTCGAAACTGCCAAAACGACGTCGTTTTGGCTTGTTTTGCACCCAAATCGACGTCGTTTTGACAGTTTCGAGCCATTAGAGCCACTGAATTTCGGGCCACCAACCATTGCTGAAGAATTAAATCATAAAGATTATGAATGAAATCGAATTCCCATAATTTGGCTATTCGTTGGAAAACAATTCACGAATTGACCAAATTTCCTGAAACCAAAATAAGATCAAATGATAATAAAATCATTGAAATCTTTGAACTTAGACCATTTGACACGGTAATCTAACCGCGTCTAATGAAATAGAGTGATTTAGAAGTCCCTTGATAATGGTTAATCCTTGACTTAGTGGAACAAAGAGAATCTTCTAAAATAAAAAAATCTGCACAAATGCAAATACAAGCGTCAAGAAAAAATTTATATATTAAAATACAGTTCCAAAAATTAAAAGATCAACTTCTGTATTTGAAAAAGATTTTCCTAACAAATCATTGTCAAAATTAAGCATTGGTGAATCAAGCAATAATTCTAATCAAGAATCTATTACTTCAACAAATGTTCATATTCCTATTTTTTCAGGAACAAAAAGACAATCTGTACATATTAAGTCTGCATATCTGTATCATTTTCAAACAAAAAATGATGATATTATTTTTTCTTCTAACCAAGGAAAAAGAAGATACACATATGTATTGGGAACATTTAGTTTATAAACCCTATAGGCTCAGTGTTCTTATAGACACAGGAGTTACAATCAGCTCATTTAAATGGAATACCATACAAAAAGAAAAATGGACATTAATGAAACATCCAATTTTGGTTACTGGAATTGATGGAAACCATACTTCCATACAATTCAAGGCTAAAAATATAGTAATTTGGTTAAATGATAGCAAGTTTATTATACCAAAAATTCTATGTTTTCCTTATATGCATGGAGATTTCCTTTTTGGAAATAATTTTATATATAAATACATTCCAATGCAAATACAGGAAAAAGTCATTTCATTAAGTATAAACAATGTCTTAATTCATATTCCCTTGTTAGAACAACATAAATATATTTGTAATAAAGAGTTTGCGTCCGTTCCGCATGGTGATTTAACTCCCATCATCAAAACTATTGATGAATCACATTGGATTTATAAAATTTTAGAAGAAAATTTGTGTGAAAATTCATTAAAACTATGGCAACGTAGTCCGCGTAATTGTAGTTTAAAATCAAAAGACCCTAATGTTATCATTAGAGTAAGACTAATGATCTATACTAAACAAGATATAAATGAATTTGATATTCAACTTTAGGAACTTTTAGACAAAAAGTTAATTGAAGAAATTAAAAGCCCTCACTCTAGTTTAGCTTTTATGGTAAGAAACCATACTGAAATTAAAAAAGGAAAAGCTCGAATGGTAGTTTACTATAAATGGCTAAATGAAAATTTATAATTTGATGGATATTTTATTCCATGAAAAGATGTTTTGATTAATTTAACCAAAGGATAAAAAATCTTTAGCAAATTTGATTGTACGAGTAGATTTTGGAAAATTCAATTTACTGAAGAGTCAAAAAACTTGACAGCTTTTAGTACACCTAGAGGACATTACCATTAGAATGTTATGCCTTTTGGGTTAAATATAGCACCACAGATATTTCAACGGTGGATAGATATAATTTTTAAAGATTTCAAGCATTGTTATGTAGTTTATATTGATGATATACTTATCTACTCTAAAACCAAGGAGGAGCATAAGAAACATTTAAAATTACTTTGTGAAAAATTTCAAAAGCATAGAATTATTTTATCACCAAAAAAGATTGAACTAGAAAAGAATCAATTGAATTTTGGAGAATAATTTTATTCCAGAAAGATTTAAAATTACAAGAGTATAGTTTGTCCAAAGTATGAGATTTTCCTGATACTCTTGAAAATATAACACAATTATAGAATTTATTAGGTATTTTAAATGATGGACAAAATTTGATCAAAAATCTTTCAAAAATAGAAATTCCTTGGTTAACCAAATTAAGGAAAAATGTTGTTTTCGAATGGATAGCAGAGGATGTTGCTTTAATTAAACAAATTAAAGAAAATGTTAAAACTTTACTAGATGTTTATCTTCCTAAAACAGGTGATAAATTAATTTTAGAAATAGATGCCTCAGACGCATGCTGGGGATGTGTTCTTAAAGCAATACCAAGTAACTTATGGCATGATAAAGAGATACATTTATCAAAAAATGGAATTAGACAAAGAAAA